GGGTGATCATCACTTTTTTGCGAAAAATGGCAAAAATTAAACATTTTTAGGTTAGAATGCAAATCGATTGGAAATTAAACAACGAGCTCAACGGGGTATGACATTCCTCATTCTGACTTATATTTTTGTTATGGCAGCCAAAAAACTGAATTTTTATTGCGAAAAAAGGGTTAAAATTTTTGTCAAATATACAAAATTGAGATTTTTGTCAAAAATGCGACATTTTTCTTCGGTTTTTCCATCGTAGTTCAGCCAAATCAAGACGTACAGCTAAAAGACCGACTGTTTTGAGCAGCTTGCTAAATATGCTAACGATCCTTATCACTTTTAGGAAAATTTATTTTTTGACCAATTTTCTCAATTTTTGTAGGGTTGACATCATTTTTTTGCGAAAAATGGCAAAAATTAAACATTTTCAGGTTAGATTGCAAATCGATTGGAAATTAAACAACGAGCTCAACGGGGTATGACATTCCTCATTCTGACTTATATTTTTGGTATGGCAGCCAAAAAGCTGAACTTTTATGGCGAAAAAAGGGTTAACATTTTTGTCAAAAATACAAAGTTTAGATTTTTGTCAAATGTGTGACATTTTTCTTCGCTTTTTTCATCGTAGTTCAGCCAAATTAAGGCGTACAGCTAAAAGACCGACTGTTTTGAGCAGCTCGCTAAATATGCTAACGATTCTTATCACTTTTAGGAAAATTTATTTTTTGACCAATTTTCTCAATTTTTGTAGGGTTGACATCAGTTTTTTGCGAAAAATGGCAAAAATTAAACATTTTCAGGTTAGATTGCAAATCGATTGGAAATTAAACAACGAGCTCAACGGGTATGACATTCCTCATTCTGACTTATATTTTTGTATGGCAGCCAAAAACTGAATTTTTATGGCGAAAAAAGGGTTAACATTTTTGTCAAAAATACAAATTCAGATTTTTGTCAAAAATTCGACATTTTTTTCGTTTTTCATCGTAGTTCAGCCAAATCAAGGCGTACAGCTAAAAGACCGACTGTTTTGAGCAGCTTGCTAAATATGCTAACGATCCTCATCACTTTTAGGAAAATTTATTTTTTGACCAATTTTCTTAATTTTTCACTTTTTTCGAAAAATGGCAAAAATTAAAAATTTTCAGGTTAGAATGCCAATCGATTGGAAATTAAACAACGAGCTCAACGGGTATGACATTCCTCATTCTGACTTATATTTTTGTTATGGCAGCCAAAAAACTGAATTTTATGGCGAAAAAAGGTTAAAATTTTTGTCAAAAATACAAATTCAGATTTTTGTCAAAATTGCGACATTTTTTTTCGGTTTTTCCATAATTCAGCCAAATCAAGGCGTACAGCTAAAAGACCGACTGTTTTGAGCAGCTTGCTAAATATGCTAACGATGCTTATCACTTTTAGGAAATTTATTTTTTGACAATTTTCTCAATTTTTGTAGGGGTGACATCACTTTTTTGCGACAAATGGCAAAAATTAAACATTTTCAGGTTAGAATGCAAATCGATTGGAAATTAAACAACGAGCTCAACGGGTATGACATTCCTCATTCTGACTTAAATTTTTGTTATGGCAGTTAAAAAACTGAATTCTTAAGGCGAAAATGGATTGGAAATTAACCAACGAGCTCAACGAGGTATGACATTCGTTATTCTGACCTTATTTTGAACTAAGCCGACCAAAAAACTGATTTTTTAGAACGAAAAAAAAAAAAATTGTTCTTATAAAACTTACACAAACTATGTATGGAAGACAAGAATACCCGTGCACTTATCGACACTGTGAACTTACCCTCGCCACCAGCGAAATAAACGCAGCCAATGGAACAGCTTCTGATTGTTGACCTCTTGAACTGTATCGGGACTTAATAGAAACGCAATCAAATAATTGCGCAAAGTGTGCCACAATCAAACATAGCAACAAATTAACCAAACGCCAACACCACCGACAATTTTCAAACTGCAAATCGATAAAGCCAGACTGCGCCCCATGCGAAATGCGAAGAAACCGCAGAGAAAATATTATAGAATTATCCAGTTGGTGGATGGATCGGCAGACCGAAAAGCGATAAGTTTACAATTGCTTATGACTTCAATTAATCTGTGAAAGCGCCTACGCAGGCAGGTCTTCTGGGCTCGCTGGTGAGGAGAGTTCGGGGTATTGGATCTTCGGATGCTGCGGATTCTCGCAAGCACGAAAATGCGAAAAACAAAAAAAAAACCAATTGAACTGGGCAAGAACTGGCTGCGGTCTAAGTCTGGTTCTGGCTGTGGGTCCCAGGTTCGGGTCTGAGTTAGGATCCCAGACCGCAAGACTCAAACACCCAAACCCAAACGCAGCCGCCGCAAGACAATTGACCTGAAATTTCATTGAAGATGTGCCCGGGGTCTGGCCTCAGAAATCTATACCCGTCTTAGAAACGGTAAATTGCTTAGTCATCTCCCCCATCGGTGATTGTGATCACGATCATTATAATTATCTGGCTGTGCCATTATTATCAAAATGAAATCGCATGCATGTCCATGTCCACGTAGCTCGTTGGGTGGGTGGGTACCTCGGATCTCGGAAGTTAGGGCCTGAACCCGCACGCATCTGGGATAGCTCTTGAGCTTAGCCCCATTTCACACACCCACAAAGTCTCAGGGGAAACTCATGGGAGCGGACTAGCCCCATACATGACTTACATATGAAATAATTCGCTGCCAACTTTTTCTCTTCTGTAATTTTGCAGGTGTTTGAATCCTTTTTCCGCTTCATTTTCAATTTACGCAAATGGACTTCGATTCGCGGCGCTGCGGAAAACGGAAAATGATATCTGAAAGTGCACACATGAGGCCCGCCAGGTGCTCAAATTGCCGCAGGTCCAATCCCCAAATGCAACATCCAATGGCAGGAAGGGGTTAGGCGAGCAAAGTTCATGGCCAGCGGACGTGTGTGCTCACCAGATGCATCTTCATCTCCATCTCGATTGCAGAGGCAGTTGTAGTTGCAGTTGCAGTTGCAGCTGTGCAGTAGCCACAGCTCAGTGGAGATCCAGTGGAGAGGCAGCATTATTTTCGGCCGGCCACTGGCGATGTACGGATGTCATTTGGGCCACCTTTGAACTCCTCACGCGCCTCCTGAAAATGATGAAAGCGCCGCAGCTAATAGGAAAAATGGTAAGACACTTTTTGCTTTTCATTTGTTTGCTCAAGGAAAATTGAAAAGTTGATTAAGTTCGAGGATGCCGCTGGAAAGTGCATTGAAAGTTATCTTTTACTATTTGCTCGTGAACTGTGACCTAAGAAATATTAAAAATAACATCTAAGAAACGTCATGCGAGTGTGAAAGGCTATTATTTTTATATACTACATGATAAAGTTTTAATTAGGTGATTTGCATATAACGACTCCCTGCATTTATAACAGCAGTCGTTTAGACAATAACAAGGTTATTATTTGAACAATGCATAGAACTAGAGGTCTATGTACTCAACAAAATGTGTTTCAGTTCTTTTTATAGTTTGATTACCGAAAGCATAATGGTCTGCAATAAAAACAATAAACCATTTTCATATACCGACAAGAAGAGTTTCTTAAGAATGAATAAAGTTTAACAACTTTTTTTAAATTATGTAAAATATATCTAACCCAATAACTTGGAAAATTGCAAAAATATCTGCCAAGTAATCATTTGAAGAAGCATAAAACAGCGGCCAAAACCCCAAACGAAAACGAAAACATGTCATTGCGAGCGGGCAAAGTGGAGCTCAGACATAAAATTAAAGATTTGTGCCCGTCAAGCGGCTCCCAAGTATCCCAGAAGCAGCCATAAAGAAGCTTTTACGGCCACCGGACTGGAGGCGAAACCGAAGCCCAAGTCCAGATGATAAATTGTCTACCACGGCCAGTTGGCTTGTTGGACGTTTGTCGATTATTTGCCTGGATTTCCCCTTTTTTTCTTTGCATTTTCTATTTACTATATTTCGCCAGTGCAGGTCGACAACTTTTCACTGCCGACGACACTAACGGCTACCATAGATCAGTTCCGACCCGGCTGGAGGACCACGACCATGTCCTCCTCTGGGTTCCTCTGGGCTCCGAGCGGGGCATTAGATTAGACAATTTGTTGGGGCTCCGGCGAACAGTTTGTGCCTGCAAGCGCCAGGGTCGAGACTTCGAGGAATTTATCACCGCTCCCCCCTCGAATTTCCCCTGCGTGTTAATTGAAAATTGTACGGTAATGTTGCTTATCGCGCGGCTATCAGACGTCTTACCAAAGCCTGGATCCCCATGGTAAAGCCCCCCCCCCCCCCCTGAATATCTATGGGGCTTGCGTGTGCCGTGACCATGTTCGTGGGCAGCCTGCCACACCTTGAGACACCTTGGTGCTCGCTCTATGCCTCCCAGCTTGCGGTGAAAATTTCTAACACTTTTTGACAACTTTTCGGGGAACGCACTTAAAAAATAATTTATCGCCGCTGACATTTTTCGTGACTTTAATTGCCCCGCTCGCACTTCGATAGTGATTTACCTGTTGCGGTAGAGCAGCTTCTTGTCTATGGATTTTCGGATTTTTTGGGCTTAGCCCGGTAAGCTTAGCCTTAGACTCGTAAGCGGTTGACGCGATTTGGGCTTAATTGCTTTTTCACCCAATACGGATGATGGATCGTACGACGATTGAGGGAGCTCCAAGTTTTCGGAGGGTTCCCTCTAAATTCCCGGAAGTTACTTAACCGCAGTTCCATTTAGTCGTCTGGCTCTTGACCCAATCAAAACATCTTTTTAAATGCGTACAGGCAGAACAAAGTCGAATAGTGTTTGAGTAGATTAAGGTGAACTTTAGTAACTAAGTACATCTAAGTACATCATACTTATTTATTTAACCACAGAAGCACTAGTACTTTAAAGACTTAGACTTTTCTATAAAAGGCTGTGTTAAAACTGCGAAACCAATCAGTGTTTAAAATTACTCCGGGGTGTTTGTTCACAGAAGCTTAGAATACAGCATTTACCATGCTAACGTTTGAAGTACTATTAACCGTTGGATTATTTTTTTGGATATATTTCCTATGGAATCGACGCAGGCTTTACATGCTGCTATTGAAGCTGCCAGGACCCATGGGACTGCCGATTCTCGGCTCTGCCCTGAACTACGTTGTCTTCCATAAAAGTGAATTCCAAAATGTAACACAAGTTATCAATGAAATAACCAAAATCGTTTTAACTACAGTGAGGATGAGACTTCGAATTAAGTACATGGACCAGTACGGCTCAACATTTTGGCCTGGCTGGGACCAAAGCCAATTGTAATAACACGGGATCCAAATATTGCCAAGGAGGTCCTTTTGTCTTCAGAATGCCTCAATAGGAGTTCCCAAGTGACAGCTCCGTTTGCTGTCAGCGTCGGTCATGGATTGTTTTCAATGGAAGGTACTGGAAATGTGCTTTACTTTCAGCCAAATTTTTTCAAATGTGGTATTTAGCTCAAAGGTGGATGGAACGTCGCAAGCAGATGAATCCCACATTCAAGCATAGTAATTTGACCAGCTTCCTTCCCATTTTCAACGCCGAGGTGAACACGTTAATGACCGTTCTAGACTCGTACGTTGGCCAAGGCGAAAAAAAGATCCTCCATGATATAATCAGATGGTCGTTTAGAGTGGCCACTCGTAAGTAAAATGATCATATGAGTATTATGATTTTGTTGAACCACAATTTTTGTTTACAGAGACCACAGTGGGAACTGATGTGCAGCAAGAAGAAGCCTTTCAGAACGATACAGTTATGAAAAGCTATGAGTCGTAAGGAGTCGATAGCCCTTACAGTTGTACACTGATATCCACAATTTTTTAATTTTATAGGCTTTTGAAGTTATTTACACTGGATGTTATTGTATCGATTACCCGCAACAAAATAATATCCAAGCTGGTCGGAGTTGAAGCGAAGAAAACGTTACATGCGTCCAATATTAACAACGTGATAAGCAAAGTGAGTTTGGTCTCTCTGCTTAAAACTACTATATTAAAGCCCTTTCTTTAGATCATTGAGAAGAAGCTGAACTCAGAGCCAGAAAGTGGTGCAGGGGCTGAATTTAAATCTGTGATCAACAGGTCCATCGACCTCTATCGTAAGGGAGAAATGCCCCTTGATCAGGTGCGGGCGGAATGTTTTCTGATGGTTGCGGCGGCCTTCGAGACAAGTGGTCTTACGGTTTGCCATACTCTCACACTGCTGGCCATGTTCCCCGAGTACCAGGATACGGTCTATGAAGAGCTCAAAGATATCTTTCCCAACGCCGGGGAGTTCGAAGTAACGTACGAGGATATACGAAAAATGGTTTACTTGGAACGCGTCTTGAATGAGTCCCTGCGACTTATCCCATCCATTCCGCTTGCACCGAGGGAGACCATTCAGGACTTCCGACTGTCGAATGGGGTTGTCATACCCAAAGGAGTCTCAATTGGAATCTGTATATTCAGTACTCACCGCAACAAGGAATTTTGGGGACCGGATGCTGAAAAGTTTAATCCGGATAACTTCCTACCAGACAATGTTCGCGATAGGCATCCTTACGCCTATATTCCCTTTACGAAGGGAAAACGAAATTGCATAGGTAGGTCCAGTAGTCATTATGGAAAACAATCTCTTCATCTTTTTCGGTAATTTTTCTCAGGCTGGCAGTACGGAATTATGTCTTCTAAGCTCGCCTTGGCCAAGATTCTCAGGAATTACAAAGTAAGCACATCCTTCCGATATGAGGATCTCGATTTCGTTGACAACATAGGCATGGTGCTGGCTCAGCAACCAGGAATAGAATTTCAAAGACGGACTTAGGCTGACCTGAACGACTTATAGTCAGGTCATGCATATTTCTGTAAGACCCTCAAACTTTAGAATTTTTATCAGAAATTTCCTTGATGGAACTGTTATGTATTTGTTTTTTCGAAAAATAATAATAAATATATCTACTTTTAATAAGTACTTAAAAACATGTATTTCTTAGTTGGTGAAATTCCAAACCTAACAGCCTTAAAAGGTGCCAGTTTAAATGGAAGTGCACAAGCATTTGAAAGTTGAAAGGTAAATTTGTATCAGACTAATTAGTCAGTAGAGGTTATAGCCATAAATATGTTTCTAAAAAATTTGGGGAGCATTAGTATATAAAAGCTCGATCTTACTCGCGGAATTGCAGTAATCACCTGAGATATATATTTATTCTCACCCAGCTTAGAAGTATAAAGTTCGGATAATATGATTTCGGTGCACTTGCTAATCGCGGCGGGTATCCTTCTTTGGATTCGTTTTCTGTGGAGTCGGCGAAAATTATATTTGCTGTCGCTACAGTTGCCAGGAAGCTGGGGACTCCCCATTATCGGAATCGCAGCGGAATATTTCATCTTCTATAGACGTTAGTCCGATTATAAAAAAGGTAATCAGATAGGAAGTATATAAAAAACTCCTTTATCGGCAGGTAAAATAAGTATACGAAGAAAGTATATGAACAAGTACGGTTCCACTTTTTTGACCTGGATGGGTACAATGCCAGTTGTGTTGACAAGGGATCCAAAAATTGCCGAGGATGTCCTTACATCATCTTCGTGCACTAACAGGAGTCCGCATGCAACCAATGCGATAGCTGATGCTGTGGGACCTGGACTAATAACACTTCAAGGCACTGTATTTTTGGCGCCACTATACTTGTTCTTTCTTATTTTTTTGATGGAACTTTACAGGAACTCAGTGGGCTGAGCGTCGAAAGCAGCTGAATCCCGCATTTAAACACAATGTATTGCTCAGTTTCCTTCCAATTTTCAATGACGAAACAAGGTCGCTGGTGAGCTTATTTGAGTCTTTTGTAGGTCAGGGAGAAGTAGATGTCCTCCCGGATCTAATCAGATGGTCTTTTAGAACGTCTACTCGTAAGTAAATCAGTTATTAACATCATTTCAATCGATCCCAGCTGTTATTCTCCACAGAAACCACTTTGGGAACCGATGTTAAGGAGGACGAAAACTACAAAAATGACACAATACTGGAAAGCTTTCAGTCGTAAGGAAGGCCGTAATGGTTATACTGTGACAGAATAAATAAATGTATTCTTTTTAGGGTCCTAAATATTACCACACTCAGTGTATTGATGCCTTTTTTGCAAAATACAATTTTTCTCAAGCTGTTTGGACTTGAAAAGATGGTGAAAAGAGCCTTATCCACAATTGGGAGTGTAATGGACAAAGTGAGTCTAGACTGCCGATCAAATATTACCATTTACAAACTTTTCCATTCCAGATAATTAACAAAAAGCTTAAAACAAAGTCAGTAAGTACGTACAATTGGGATCCTGAGGTGAACACTGTTATACACAGGGCAATCGAGCTTTATGAGAAAGACGAAATTTCCTATAGTGGGCTGATGTCCGAATGTAGTATTATTGTTGTGACTGCCTTCGAGACAAGCGCTCATACGGTATATCATTCCCTCATTCTGCTGGCCATGTTTCCCGACATCCAGGAGAAGGTCTTCAATGAGATTAAGGAACTACTCCCAACGACCGAAGACTTGGAACTAACCTACGAGGATCTCCAACAGTTGGTTTACTTGGATCGTGTGCTGAATGAGTCGATGCGGGTCATAGCACCCGTTCCTCTCATCACGAGGGATACGATAGAGGACTTGCAACTTTCGAATGGAGTTCTCATCCCTAAAGGAGTTACGATTACCGTCGACATATTCAGTATGCATCGCAACCCGGATGTCTGGGGCCCCGAAGCAAACAAGTTTAACCCAGATAACTTCCTGCCAGACAAAATTTCCAAAATGCATCCATACGCCTTTATGCCCTTTTCAAAAGGGAGGAGAAACTGCATAGGTAAGTCGGCCTTCCTATAAGTAAATTACATTATCATAATCATTTCTTCTTACTTATTTAGGCTGGCGATACGGACTGATGTCTATTAAACTAGCATTGGTCAAAATACTATGAACTACGAACTTAGCACATCTTTTCGCTATGAGGACCTGGACTTTGTTGACAACATGGTCATAAACTTAGTAAAGGCACCACGGCTCGCTTTTAAACGACGGACTTATAAGTAGATCTTAAAAATATATGGGATGGGTATGGAAAGTCTTACTATTCTCTTGCTATATTTTAAATAACTTAAAATCCTTGTCTTTATACCAATAAAAATGATTTCACCTTCTAAATTAGTGCACATTATTGATTTTTTAGAATTTTTTTCTTTGTTCTGTTACTGAATTTACATTATGATCTCATTATGGAGTTAAAAGAAAAGTACATTAAATTACAGCTCCTTAACATTTTTTGAAAGTTACGCATCAGAATGTTTATCATTATTTAATTTATGAAAACAGCTCCATCAAAAGCTTATAGCTTAATAGTCAAAATGGGCATTACCCAAGGGTTGAGGTAAAAACAGATATATCCTAATAAATATACGTTTTTGGATCATATATAAAGCTCGTTCGAGTTCTAGATTACTTACTTCATCGCATTTCAGTATAGGGAATGGTTGACATGCTCACGTTGCAATTTTTAAAGGGTGCTGCTATCCTTCTGTGGATATATTTTCTATGGAGTCGACGCAGGTTCTACAGAATGATGCTGAAGGTGCCTGGACCAATGGGACTTCCCTTCATCGGTCTTGCCTCCGAGTACCTTCGTCTCAAACGTAAGTTGTGCATTTCTAAAAATCCCTAATGAAACTTATAAGAAAACTTATCAACAGGTAATATAGGCTCACGTACAACGTTCTTCGAGAGATACGGAAAAACGGGAATGACCTGGATTGGTATAACGCCTGTTTTGGTAACCTGCGAACCGAAGATCGTCGAGGACATTTTAATGTCCCCCCATTGCACCGATAGGAGCTCTGTCGTAGACAAGGCCATATCATCTTGTGTTGGACCAGGACTTCTAACATTGAGGGGTAAGTGGAAAATTTCAAAAAAATTTGAATTTCCCATTTTAATATTTTATATAGATCCTCATTGGCACGAACGACGAAAACTGTTGGGCCCATCATTCAAAATTAATGCAATTCTTAGTTTTGTACCCATTTTAAACAATGAATCGAATTCCTTGTTGACTCTCTAGAAGGATTCGTAGGTCAAGGAGAGAAAAACTTGCTGCCGGAACTAAATAACTGGTCATTTAAAATAGCCGCTCGTAAGTAAAGAATTTATGTTCTTTTATTAGTTTACAATTAAAGAAATAACTATGGGAAGTGATGTGAGGAACCAGGCAAACTACAACAACGGGAATCTAATGCAGAACTACAAGTCGTAAGACATTTCCCATTTTAAAAAGATGGATAATTTATATTATCCATAGCCTTAATGAGCTTATACCTATTGGAGTTGTGATGCCATGGCTCCGAAACAAGTTCATTGGAAAACTGAGTGGCTTTGAGAAAACAAGGCTGGAGGCCACATCACAGGCAAATGCCTTTATTAAAGACGTATTGTAGATAAATGAATTTTTTGACCATTCGTATAAACCAATACTTTTCAGATTATCGACAAAAAGCTGAGCATCAGCTCAGAAAGCAGCTTGGAACCTGCACTATCGATCGTATTCTATATCTTGTGAGGAAGGGTGATCTTTCTTATGACGACGTTATGGGCGAATTTTCTAATATATATTTGCCGCATCTGATACCTTATCAATAACAGTCAACAATGTGCTGAGCCTTTTGGCAATGTTCCAGAAATCAGGATAAAGTATTTGAGGAGTTAAAAGAAGTATTCCTGAATTGGAGAATTCGAAGTAAACCATGGAGATGTGGATAAATTGGAGTACTTGGATCAAGTTCTGCATGAACGATGCGCTTGATACCTGCTGTTCCACTATTATAAGGCAAACATCCGAGGACATTTGCCTTTCCAACGGTTTCCACATTCCCAAGGGCGTGACTCTGATGATAGACATTTTTCACACTCATCGAATAAGGATGTTTGGGGTCCAATGCTGGGCCTTCAATCCTGATAACTTTCTTGCCGAAAATAAGCGAGAGAGGCATCCTTATGGATACTTACCATTTTCTAAGGGAAGGAAAACCTGTTTAGGTGAGTGTTATACCTTATAACTTCCTAAGTATGATAATTCTTCCCACTTAGGATATAAATTGTCACTGATATCTGCAAAAATGACTCTGGCTAAGATATTGCGAAACTATAAGCTGAGCACAACTTTTTGTTCAAGGACCTCAATTCATTGACAATACTACTATAAAGCTGGCTGAGCAACCATTATTAGAAGTTGAGCGGAGGACCTAAGTCGCATGAATAAAAAATATAATTAAAATGTAGGTATATTATAAGCAAAAATGTATATTGACCTTTAAAAAAATTTGGCATTAGGAAAATAGTAAAATTAAAAAATAAGAATTTATTTATTGCTTTATCATCCCAAAAGTCAAGGTATGCTTGTTTATTTGGTACCTCCAGCTGTCAAATGTTCAACTCCTCCGTTTAGTTGAAAAACACCGTCGAAATGAACACAATCTAGACTTTCTCATCTTTCCAAATTCCAAGTGTCCCAAGATGTTGGCTCTGGCAGGAACTCGTGGTGTGGCCAAATGCTGAGACGCCGTTGCCCGTACTCAAAGGCATCCTCCGGCGGAAAGCAATCCGAGAAGCAGGGAAAGTACAGGATCGTGATGGTGCGACATGGGGAGTCCGAGTGGAACCAGAAGAACCTCTTCTGCGGATGGTTCGATGCCAAGCTCTCGGAGAAGGGGCAGCAGGAGGCCTGTGCTGCAGGCACCGCGCTCAAAAATGCCAAAATGGAGTTTGATGTGGCCCACACCTCGGTGCTGTCCAGAGCCCAAGACACACTCACGGCCGTCCTGAAGTCCAGTGACCACAAAAAGATCCCGGGTGTGTCACCTGGCGCCTCAACGAGCGCCACTACGGCGGACTGACTGGACTAACAAGGCCGAGACCGCCAAGAAGTTCGGCGAGGAGAAGGTCCAGATTTGGAGGCGAAGCTTCGACACCCCGCCGCCACCCATGGAAAAGATCACGAGTACTACGCCTGCATTGTGGAGGACCCGCGGTACAAGGACCAACTCAACCGGAGGAGTTCCCCAAGACGGAGTCCCTCAAGCTCACCATCGAGCGCACTTTGCCCTACTGGAATGAGGTGATTGTGCCCCAGATCAAGGAGGGAATGCGCATCCTGGTGGCCGCCCACGGCAATAGCCTAAGGGGCGTGGTTAAGCACTTGGAGTGCATCTCCGATAAGGACATCATGAACCTCAACCTGCCCACCGGAATTCCCTTTGTCTACGAACTGGATGAGAACCTTAAGCCTCTGAACACCCTGAAGTTCCTAGGCGATCCGGAGACGGTAAAGAAAGCCATGGAATCAGTGGCCAACCAGGGCAAAGCCAAGTGATCTCTGATTTTTTATATTTTTGGGTATATCAAATCTCCTCCGAAGAAGGTCAGAGCAATCAGCTCAATGCACTTGCATGCCAAACAAAAACGGAGGATCGAAAGTGCCAAGGCGAATGTCAAGCAGCAAATAAATTTATTTGATTTTAATTGACAATGAAAAGTCAACAACGATGGGCTGGCCATTGGTCTCTTGGTCTCTTCGACTTATATCTTCGCCTCTGGGTCCCAGGGTCTGGTTCTGGGTCTGGGTCTGGGTCTGAGCCAAAGTCCAGCCGTATTTATATGTGTTTCCATTGCGCTCGTTTAAGAAATCAGGGAATCGAGTGTGTCGCGTCAGTTTTAATTGCTGCGGGATGAGTCCGCGCAGCCTCTGGCATTCCAAATGGGTCGAATTTTAATTTGTTTAAATGAAATACTCATTTAGGGCTTATTGACAAACAAATTGAATTGATTGATCTAAATGAATTTATATGGTGAGCAGTGCCCGGCAGCGACTCAGATTGTCTCGCAATGCGATGGTATGGTATGTATGGATTGGCTGGTTTAGTCTTCTAGGCATTTGACCCGCTGTTAGCTGTCTATATGGGAGTTCAGAGGAGGCCAGATTTTCCATGTTAGGCTCGCTTTGATCTAGTAAATTGGGAGCGTGAAATGAGCTAAGAAATGGGCACTTGCAAATGTGGTTCCTCTCCAGGAAGATGCTCCTTTGCAGTGCAAATCTTTGCTGGCCAATGTGCTTTGCAAAAGGCATGAGCTCCACATTATTTGAACTTAATTACACAGCCACAGAAAAGTCGAGACCGAAGTTAAACCTTAGAGTCAAAGTCGGCGCCCCGTTAAATCGTTTCCACTACACATAGCGTATAGCAAACCAAAATCGAAGCATAGAAACGGCGGGAACATAAAAATGTTTGCACTTCGTATTTGTCGCGCATAAAATCTAATATCGAATTACAAGGCCCGGTCTTTGGAGAGGAGTCCAGAGTTCGCAGCTCGCAACAGTGTGCGTGTCAGCGAAACTTTGCGGCAGGCTCCACCATCCCCACATCTATCCCCATACCAGCCATACCCCACATCCTCAGCCACATCCCGCTGCCATAAAGAAACTGAATTGAGTTAAATGCGCGATAAATTGCTTTTTGCATTTATCATGGTCGCCCTGGCAGGCGGCAGCCCAAGTTTTCAAGCTGGAGTCGGGCCAAGCCTAGACCATGAAGATGGAGAGGCGACTCTGCCTGTGACTCTGTGGACTCCACCCAGACTCCTCCGCCTCCCCCTCCCGTGCTGTGGCGAATATCGAACAAGATTTTTAATTAGTCGCCAAAAAGAAGGCAGGGGGATAGCAAAGAACGCAAGACTCCGTGGAATTTCAGGCCAAGCAAGGTTTATTTATGCCTGCAGGACGGTATTTATTGGGCCAGATCCTGGTTGATCACCTGGCTGATGTAGGCCAAAAAACTGGACACGCGTGTGTAGACATCGGGCCTGCCCTGGCACAGGTGGATGAGCCATAGGAGACAATGCCCACCAAGTGGGGCTGGGGACCGGTCTTAATCAGGGGTCCACCAGAGTCGCCCTGTAATAAATTAAATAATTAATAAATAATATGATTTCAGGGACTAACTGTATTTGACTTACCACGCATGCCCCTTGACCATGGACAGACAGGGCGCAATCTCATTGCGAGTCACCGGAATCCCTTCTGATTGCACTCCTCATTGGAGATAGTGCGATAGTTCAGCGCCTGCAGGTGATCCGGCAGAGTTGCTGAGGAAGTGGATGGATTGGTGGATCCCCAGCCAGTTAAGCGACGGGAATCTTTTCACCAATGCGATCCGATCCCCAACGAGGATGGTGCCATATTGGAACGCTCCAGACGGAACGGGGGAGTAACCTTGACAGGGCGATGTCGTTGATGATCCGGGGATTCATCGAGTACTGCGGATGATATGCTTGGTCACCACCCGATGACGTAGTCCACCCGCCTTCCAATTGAGTGTTCCCACGACCACGCTGACATCCTCTACCTTCATCTTATCCATGCAGTGGGCCGCCGTGAGGACATGCTGTCCACTGACAATGGATCCCCACAAAAATGCTGCCAGCGACCACGACGTTGCATTTGCAGGGACACCTGAAGGGCACCGTTCGTTCACCAGTTGCCCACCATTAATCCTGGTGGGTGGTTCCGTAACGGGGTCACCACATCAGCTAATCCTTGCTGGAGGATCAGAAAATGCACAAGAGCTTCAGAACTGTCATTTTACACTACTGGGAATGAATGGTATATGCCATTGCAACCCATTCATTTTATACATCTCCACGAAGAGCAGTCTTATCATTTATTTGGCGATGCAAACATGTAAATGCAGTGATCTTGAAATAATTTAATGTGGGTTGAATTGGGGTAACCTTCCCAAAGTATCTCCTATAAATACAGTATTGGTTTTATGTACACTGAAAAAAAAACGGAACTCTTTTTATTTGCTAAAATGATTCATTTAATTGTAACTTAATTATGAATAGTACTATGAACATACAAAATACGTATTAAAATATTCTTCTAATAACTTGCTTTATCAAAGATAACACTTTCTATTATTGGTAGACTCTAAGGCATGACAATTTATTCATCATTATGCAGACATATACCATTTTCGAAAGCATTCCAATCCAAACAGTAGTTGATTCGGATCTCCTGCTGATCTGCTCCTGGCTTCCCAGTTGTCCCCTTGCGTGCCTGGTTATCATAAGCTAGCAGGATCCACCGATCCCATCATAAGACTGGGCTTGACAGAAGCGCCTACCTGTTGTCATCAATTAGGTAACACGCTCACGCGACCGATAAATATTAAGCCCGCTCTAGCTGGATACCTGGCTGGATTTTGGTATCTGCTTTTATCTGGGCAAACGCACATGATCTCTTATCTGATTTGCAAATAAAAATCTGTTTAATTTGCCCAATGCTCTCTGGGCACGGAGCCAATGCCATTTCGCTGCATGTGCTTGGGGTCCAGAGTCATAATTTATAGAGCCAGTGGATGGGGGCGATACGGATTCGTATTCGGATTCGGTTTGCGAGGGAACTGGGGAAACTTAGGTGCACCTTGTGGTGCGATCCTGAGCAAATTAAGTACTAAAATAAACGACCAATTTACTGATTATGCAAAACACGCAATTAATTTTCCACTTGGAAACGAGTGCGAAAATTAATTGGCTGCGAAGCGGAAAACTCAGTCGGCTAACCAAGCTGATCCCGTTTGTTTATGTGGGCCTTAAGTCATAATCATTTGCATACAGGTCGAACCAGAGGAATTTTTTGTGTTTCCCCCACCTGTTCTTGTTGATGGTCTTGATTGACCCCTGAAATCAGCTTGGTCAGCAATACCCTTCCCGAGTTGCTACTGGACTTTAAACCTGGTATATAAAATGCCACTTCTCCCACTCCAACAGATCATAAAACCAGCGGCTCTGCCTTATGAAGTGGCCAATAAATCAAGCTGAAGACGTTGGCGGCAAAGAGACAAACAAGAAAACGAATCCCGAAAACAAAAAGCCCATAAAAATTGCACCGAGAATGAATGCTCACTTCAGTCGAGGCCTGTGTTCTTCTGCTCTTCTGGGCCACACGCACAATTCTACAGAAGTTGGCTGGCGAACATGGCCAAGAACGAGGGCATCGGCGGGGCAGGCAATCAACCAAAATGTCATAATAATGATGGCGTCCCGTCGGAGCAGACAGGCAGGATGCTTATCTTGTTAACACCGAACCGATCCGCAGGCCCTCTTTTTAAGGGAGGGGAACACTGCTGATGAAATGATTAAAGTGCATTTTATTAGTGAGAATTTTGATCGTGGTCTGCGGAAGTCTAAAGTGTTTTTTTCAGAGACCGAAGTGCAGGGACGACATGTTTTTCATAAAGAATGCAAAAAAATGCAAGAGGGTTAATTAACTAGAAACAGTCGGATTACCTGATGTACCTATATAAAATCATGTAAAACAGGAAAAATATATAAATCATTTTAAAATAATATTAGAACCGTTAGAAGCTATAAAATGTTATAACGTAGCTTGGTAATAATCAAGTAAAAACTATTTAAAATAAAAATTTAAAAAAGTATCTAAGAAAAAATATTCACCATTTTATTCCAAATGTTTTTCAGAACAGGTAATTTTCTTGAATTTATTAAAATATTTTTCTCTGTGTCCCTTTGCCTGATTAAAGTAACCTAGCTAGAACAAAGCCTAATGAGTTAACACAAGGATTAACCCGTCAACCTGAAGTCGAAGGCGCACCAAGCTCACATGCAAATTAGAGGCGGGAATTAAGCATAAAGTCCGCGGATAAGTCATGCCTTGACAGGGTGGTCCAATTAACAAAAGGCAGAAGGAGGCAACACGACAGGCGCCAGAGATGCGGATTCAGAACCCCAGACACATCCTGTGGATGGGGCTCTCGCTGGTGGAGATATAATAAAGCCATTTCGGGTTCAAATCGGTTCGCTGGCCGGCAACTTCGTGGCGCTGCATCGCGGCCCAGGACAATTAACACAGAAGTCCAAAGATCAAGACCTCAACAGCAGCCAGGATGCCAAATGGAGGAGGAGCAGTTGCAGAACCGAGAGGTGTGCATAATTAATTCAGCCACACACGGCCAAGTCTCTGTCGAGATGCAGCTACACCCAAAATGATTCATTAGCTGGATGCAATCAGGCCCGGAACTGACACATCTGACTCCGAATGTGGACCAGATAGCACATTCGGAGCCCGCCCATGGAAGAGGGAATGGAATCGAGGCAGAACTCGCGGCTGGAATGGAGCCTGATTTGCATCGAACATGTGGATGGCCGGGAGCTCCTGTCTGGAAGTCTCGACTGAAACCGAAACTGCCTCCGAGGTGTCCAAGGTGCTGATTGCCAGCGGCAGGTCTCCTTGTCTCCCTGTCCGCACAATGAATTAAAAGAAATGTCGGCAGGGGCTTGTTTAATCGGAATATTTAAATTATTCGCTGATTAAAACTCTGGACAGAAGCTGATTCCTTCGGAGTCTGACTGTGATTCTGTTTCTTATGCCTTTACTTACTCTGTCCTGCCTTTGCGTAGGTGTCATTCCCTGGAAATTCGGATCCTCTTGTCTGTCAATGAGTCTTGGGTCCCCGTAAAATGATGTATGGGTTCAGGAACTGAAGGTCTTTTAACCCAAGAAACAAATAAGTCCTCGGTTGGCTTAAGCCACAACCTTTCTATCACTTCTTCCCTGTCAACTGTTGGTTCCTATCGCCTAGACTTCTACTATCGCTGCCCAGCAACCTTGTAACCCACTACATGAGGTGGGACGACCGCCCACAGCTGCATCGATAAAATTCAAATGAATCGAGCAGAACGAAAAAGCCCAATTAATTGGGGCTCTGCGATGCGTATATAAGCCAATGGTTCTTTACTAGTTTCAGACTCAGTCTTACCATGAACGGAGTAACTTATTTTGTGCTGCTTGTCGCAGCTTTGTCAGCTCTCGAAGTGGTCCAAAGTAAGCCCATGGGCAACGTGATCGACTGTAAGTTGACTTTATTACTTAACCAAAGGAAAGTTACATTAATGTTCGTAACTCCCTCCAGTGGACAAATATTTCGAGGAGGTAGACTCCAATTCCCAGGAGCGAGTTGTTGGTGGTTATGATGTGCCCGAGGATGAGTATGTTCCCTACCAGGTCTCCATGCAGTTCCGAACTCGCAGTGGTCAACTCAGGCACTTTTGTGGTGGTTCCCTCATTGCCCCAAATCGCGTCCTCACCGCCGCCCACTGCGTCAATGGCCAGAACGCCAGTCGTATTAGCGTGGTTTCCGGAATCAGGGATCTGAACGATAGCACCGGCTACCGATCCCAGGTGCAGTCCTACGAGATGAACGAGAATACCAGGAACTGGTGACCAGCGACATTGCCATCCTCAAGATCGATCCACCCTTTGAGTTGGACGGGAAAGGAGTGTCCACCATCGATGTGAGTGGCTCGGATTAGTTGGGGCTGATCAGGAGGTTCTCCTCACCGGATGGGGCTCTGTCTTCCACTTTGGCACTGGACCTTTCGCCAATATCCCACAGTGCTGCAGAAACTCAGCTACAAGACACTGAGCAACCCAAAGTGCAAGGAGACCATGACCCAACTTACGGATACCGAGATCTGTGCCTTGGAGAGGTTCGGCAAGGAGCTTGTAATGTAAGTAGAAATTTAATTGTATTGGATCAGATGTTTAGCTTATTCTATATCCCTTCCATTTTCAGGGCGATTCTGGCGGTCCTTTGGTTATGAAGAGTGGCGAATCCTACAAACAGGTGGGCGTCGTATCCTACGGAACTGCTTTTTGGCCTCAAACAGCCCCGATGTCTACACCCGAGTGTCCATGTTTGATAGTTGGATAAAGGAAAGAATGGCTTAAATTGAAAAAATAATATTTGCAATGAGCTATTTCAATGCAATAAAATCATAAACTTTCTATCGAATTCAAATTTGCTAGGCATTCATAATATTATTTCAAGGTAGCATTATCTTCCTAGTAAAGAACTTCACTTACATACTCATTCGCAACTATATATTTGCAACCACCTAACTAGGTTACATTACCAGCAAACTACTCATTATAATTTCAATTTCAAGATCAAATTTAATGGCATAACCAAGTATCCAAAGTGCCCCAGATATGTGCGATACATATGCAAATTCTTTTTATAATGGGGGCCAAGCTATTGTTTAAGTACCGTGGTAGATGCAACCCAGTGACATTAACGAACGAGCGATGGGTCTAACAGAGTTACTGGTGATCGGAGTTATTGCTGTGGGAGGAGTCTTCGGAAGGCTGAACTGTAGAGTGTCCATTGGAACTATTCATATTTGCAAGCTTATTAATACTTACATTCCAATAGCGCGACAGCCCAGTGCCGATACTCCTCATCGTATAGTAGGAGGTGCTGATGTTCCACCAGGGCAACATATTCCCTACCAAGTTTCCCTGCAGTACAAAACCCGTGGAGGTCAGATGCACTTCTGTGGTGGCTCCATCATTGCCCCCAATCGCATCCTAACTGCAGCCCACTGTTGTCGGGGACTAAATGCAAGTCGTATGTCTGTGGTGGCCGGAATCAGAGGTCTGAACGAGAGAGGGTCTCGCTCCCAGGTGCTATCCTATAGTATACATCCCAACTACCAAGAACTGGTGACCAGCGATCTTGCCGTACTGTCCATTAAACCACCTCTAAAGTTGAATAATGCCAGCATTAGTGCCATTGGGTACCAATCTCAGAAAAGGAGTTCGTGGGTGGTGGGTCCCTGTGACCCTGACGGGTTGGGGCCTCCGTCTACCAGTGCCCTTTCCCTTCCTGGACAACGTCAACTATCCCACTGTTCTCCAGCGAATGAGTTACCACACGATCTCGAACAAGGATTGCCGGGATGCGGGAATGGAGAGCGTTACGGATACGGAGATATGCGCCAGAGGACCTTTCCGGGGCGCCTGTTCGGTGAGTTAGGGAATAATAATATATCAATTAAGATATTTTGTATTATTTATTATTTCTAGGGCGACTCTGGTGGACCTTTAGTCACGCAAACGGATAGTGGACCTAAGCAAGTAGGCATTGTTTCCTATGGTCTGGTAGTTTGTGGCCTATACATCTCTCCGGATGTTTACACTCGGGTCTCAACCTTTAGTGATTGGATAGACAATCAGATGGAATCGTAAAGAGGATTCTTCTGATCAGTTTATTTACATGCAGGCAAAATCTATTTAACAATTAAGGGAAAACTAATAAAGAATATATGGTTTCATCTACTCGGCGGCTTCTTCGGCGGGAGCTTCTTCAGCTGGTGGTGCGGCCTCCTCGGCTGGTGGAGGTGGAGCTGGCTCTTCAGCGGCTGGTGGGGCAGCCTCTTCTGCGGGAGGTGGTGCAGCCTCCTCGGCAGCTGGTGGAGCAGTCTCCTCGGCGGGAGGAGGTGCAGCCTCTTCGGGTTCAGCAGGTGGTGCCGCTTCCACAGGAGCTTCTGCTGGTTCTGCCGCTTCCGGTGGTGGAGCTTCTCCGGCATGTTCCGCAGGCTCTGCCAAAGCGGTGTCTGAAGGTCGAGCCGTGGCCGGAGCAGTTCCAGGAGCAGTTGCTGGAGCAGTTGCTGGAGCAGTTGCCGGAGCAGTTGCAGGAGCAGTCGGAGGAACACTTGGGGCGGCAGTTCCCGCAGCAGTTGTCACCACTGTCGTTGTAACACTGACATCATCATATGCACTCTTAGTTGTTTCCGGTGAAGGGGTCGCTGCCGTAGGTTCCGTGGCATCCGTGGGATCCGCACAAGGATCTGCGATGGGTTTCGTGGCAACGCGCTGAAATGTTGACAAGGGGTTAAAATTGAACCTTATTATGTTATATCTCCTTAAACTTACCAACATAACCTTGCGGAAGAATCTTTGAAGAACGCTTGCTGCCGCTTGCCTGCGATTCTCCTCCTCGTCGTCCTCCTTCTCCTGATGAAATCAAAATTGAAAAATTAGTTCAGAGATAATCCTTATAGAGATCGAATCACTTACCGCCGCACAGACGCAGACGCACACTTCCTGAGGAAACTGGTGACGGACCCAAAAGCCACGCCAGGCAGCCTGAATGGTGATGGCCGCCTGTTGACGCATCGCCTCGTTAATCCTCTTGAGCTCTCGATCTCTGAAGTACTGGTAGAGCAGCTCGGTTCCATCGGCACCACGTTCCGCTGACATATAGGCCTCCATGAAGCGCTTGTAGGCACTCTCGATGGCCGGCCGCGACATAATGAGCTCCTCGTCGGAGAACTTGCACTTCAGCAGCAGCTCCTCCAGTATATCCACGTCCTCGAAGTTTATGGTCTGCTTTCCGCGCCTCATCTCGCAGCGCCGTTTCTCGAGGAAGTTGCGGAAACAGTCCTCCAGAACCTGGCCCATCAACTCGGACTTCTCCTTGGAGAGATCGCAGACACAGAGGTCCGATATTATGCTGTCCACCTGTCGCAAAGCCCTGTCCAAAATGGTTTTGGCCACTGAAACATGGATAGTTATTGTACTGTACCAATAATAAGGAATCCTCCATCCCACGACTACCCACCCAGTGCCTTCTCCCTGGTTACGATCACAGAGTGCAGATAGTCAATGATGAACTGGCAGAGGCATTCCTTTCTCGGCTGACATCGTAGAACCTCCCGTGTAATATCAGATAAAAGTTCTGGGAGACCCTCCGGTACATTTATCGCCTGTTGGCGCATCTTTCCGCGTTGAATCAGATAATTCATCTTGATTTTTTAGAAATATAATGTACAATTTTGATTAGTCAAGCTGTTGTTCTGGGAAGAATGTGAGAATTCGGATGTGTCAGTCCTGAAATATTTTAAAATGGCAACTTTTTATTTGGGTTTCCATGATGAGAGTAAATTAAACATTGGGCGGGAATTGGGGGACTAACCCCCAAAAGTATGTACATTTTCTACACGGGAAGCACGAACTACAATTGAAATGTAGAATTTTCTGGGTTTCTTAACACTAGATGGCGGTAGTCGACAGTGAACAATATTGCCGGAAATTTGAAAGAGTGCCTGATAATAAATAATATCTAATTGTTTCCAGAACAGCCGGCTTTGGGCACCCCAGGTGGTGCACTACAACCTTTCCTTTGGGTCCATCAAATGGTAAAAAAAAAAAACAAATATATATATTAAATAGCAATTATTATTTGAAATGTGACTTAACTTTATTCAGCCAGCAAACGTAATTAATAGTTTAAAGGTGACTTAAGCAAACCCCACATTATGCCACAAGTGTCTCTTATAAAGTCAAGTTACAAGTCCACACTTGCTTTGTAATATGTAAAGGGCAACAATTTTAAATTGCACTCGTATTTTGTGAAGGGAAAGTGATAGGACTTTGTACCTCTCATCGAAAGTGGGTGTGTATCGAGAATTTGCATTCCTTATTATTCAGCCAGTATCGGAAATCAACAAGGTTCTTGGTGGATTCTGATTTCAAAAAACCATTGAACCGCTTTTCTTTCTTTTCACCTGATCTTTAGCCCGTCTACTTGGTAATTTTACAAAGATAGCTTTAAAGCAAAAACTTTGATTATGGAAGGAAGCCATATGCATATTCATAGTTAAAATTCTGTATATAAGTTACAACAGCGTGCGCAGAGAGGGTTCCATTTTAAAGTGTAAAATAAATATTTCAAAAGATAAGGATACATTTCTTAAAAATGGTTATACGCAATTTTTAACCATCAAAATACCTATTGATATTTTAAAAGATAAACTATGCAAGGGTTTATAATTAGTCTAATTTAACCATGAACAGAAATAAATATGAATAGCTTCTTACTTTTTATCATACTGCGAAACGACTTAAGCCCCCGTAGCCCCCATTGGCGCTCCCTTGGATTGCGGCACTACTTATAAAAGCTGTTTCCTCGGGTCTGTTGCGATCTGACGAAAGCGAAAGCTGTGGAGAAAGCTCTAGCAACCTCGATCGCAGCTGGTACTACGATCAGTTGGACGACGCAATGCAGCAGCTGATCAGAGTGGCGCGGACGTTGGGTGAGAAACTGGGTGATTCACAACCACCTGGATGATAGATTTGCCGCCTACCCATTCGCAGGTCAGCGATCGAGCGGCGCATGGAGTGTGCGGAGAATCGCCGGTGGAGACCGGGGAATCGCCTGCCTAGCCGCCCTCCCAGAGACCCACCAGATTCTGCAGAAGACTTGCCGTGAGTTCGCCAATGCGGAACTGGTGCCTAAGGCCCGCCACCACGACCGGGAGGAGCTCTATCCGGCGGAACAGGTCCGGCAGTTGGGGGAACTCGGTCTGATGGCGGTGACGGTACGGGAGGAATACGGTGAGTACTGGATCACTTGTTTGCTTATCCCAAACAAAAAAATTAGGACCGTAAAATAATGTTTGCATATAGTACCTTCTAAGAAATTTACATAATGTATTGAGTAAAACAAAAATATGATTTCGATATTTTAATTTGAACGGATATTATGGTTGGTTCGATTTGTTTTTTTTTTTCACATATCAAATTGTTATTAATAATATTACTTTGCAATATAAAGTTTATATCAGTTAAGTGATCTGAAGAAGATTTTTGTTTCTGATCTAACAAAGTATTTGATCCAAAACGAATTCTGAGATCGGTATCGCTCTTAATGATAGCCAACAATCCAACTTAATCCCCGCAGGTGGTTCCGGACTTGATTACCAGGCCTACGCGATTGGCATGGAGGAGGTAGCCCGCGGTGACGCAGCCGTATCAATTGTGATGGGCGTGAACAACCTGTACCTGGGTGCAGTGCAGCAGCACGGAACGGAGGACCAGAAGCGGGACTTCCTGGTGCCCTATACCCAAGGCACTCACATAGCTTTCTACGCATTATCGGAGCCTGGAAACGGATCGGATGCAGGAGCTGCCAGCACTACGGCCAAGTTGGACGGGGATAACTACATACTCAACGGCACCAAGGCCTGGATATCGAACTCCAAGGAGGCCAGCGGGGGAATCGTCTTCGCCACGGTGGAAAGTCTCTAAAGCACAAGGGTATCACTGCCTTCCTTACGCCCAAGGATGTTACAGGACTTACCATAGCCAAAAAGGAAAGCAAGATGGGCATGCGGGCCACGTCGACTTGCCAGCTTGTGCTAGAGGATGTCCAGGTGCCACGGTCCCAGGTGCTTGGAGCTCCCGGAGATGGATTTAAGATCGCCATGCAGTCCCTGGACTGCGGAAGGATTGGTATAGCCGCCCAGGCCACGGGAATCGCTCAAGCTGCCCTGGAACTGGCCGTGGACTATTCGCAGAAGAGGGTGGCCTTCGGGAAGCAGCTGGCTCGGATGCAGCTCATCCACAGAAGCTGGCTGACATGGCCACTCGGGTGGAGACCTCCAGGCTGCTCACTTGGCGCGCCGCTTGGCTGAAAGATAATGGGTTGCCAATCACCAAGGAGGCGGCCATGGCTAAGCTCCATGCCTCCGAGGCCGCCACTTTCTGCGCCCACCAGTGCATCCAGGTGCTAGGCGGGATGGGTTACACCACCGATCTGCCCGCGGAGCTGTACTACCGAAACGCCCGCGTCACGGAGATCTATGAGGGAACCTCGGAGATCCAAAGGATCGTCATCGCCAACGCTGTGCTTCGGGAATTGGGCAGGGAATGATTTGCAGTTCCTGCCCGACAAACCAGAATTTTTGCATTTACTCTTATTTGAGAAAGCAGTTTTAGGTTGTGTGAATGCCATTAGTTAATAATCCTTATCGTTTATAAAAAAACATAACTATTTCTGCCACAACTATACATTTACAGAGACAAATTGAATTTTAAATAAAAAATGTTTCTAAAATCGAATTCTGATTTTGATATTCTGTTATTTATATTTTTTTTAATATTTTCTTAAAATGAACAGTAAAAATGTTAGCATCCCAATGAACAGGGCCAATAAAATTATGAAACTAATTTTAAAACATGTATTTATTAAGAAGTTACTAAAACTTGTAAAGTCGGTAAATGTTAGATAAAGAAATACGTTTCAAATTTATAGAGCCAACGCGCAAGTGTGACCAAATCAGTTTTCTTTTGATTTTGCAGGGAAATAAAGGTGGTTTTTAAACAGTGTTGCCGAAACAGCGTAGATTTGTTTCTTGTTTATAAGGCATTCTGCTAAATAATTATGATTGTTTCGCTATTATAGTTATAGTTTATATAATGAATACCGTCGTTAACATTTTTAGATTTGTTTATATATTGTTGGATAATCTGCTCTTATTTTCCCGCTAAAGGTAACTTTATTCCCGCCACAAGATGTCAGCACTGTTTGGAGTGAAACGCACTTTACCGTCTGGTCACACTGGTATTTGTTATTGTTTAAAAAAATATATATTTTAAGGATAAATGACGGCCAATTTGTTGAACCTGAAGTGGACACGCTGTTCGACAGCACAGCGTGTCCGAGATCGACGCGGTGCACAAGAAGATCCAGTCGGTGGTGGAGAACAAGCGCGAGGAGCTGCGCACCCATGTCGGGTTAGTGATGTGGCACATTTGGAAAACTGAACCACCGCCTAAAGTATTGCTCTTTTATCCCTCAGGGAGCGGTACCGAGACCTCCTCCAGGCAGCGGATACCATTGCGGCCATGCAGACGTCGGCGGGCACGCTCATGGAGCAAGTCCGTCACGTCCAGGCCAACTGCCGCAGCCTCAACGAGCAGCAGCTCCTGGGCTTCCAGTCCACCACGAATCCAAGTCCCAAGGAGGCGGCTCTGCAGCAAAGGAATGCCGGCAAGAAGCTGCAAACCTACTACGGCACCATGGCCCAGATCAAGCTGCTCACCGCCTGCCGGAACTGATCTGGACGCACCTGGACAACGACCGCTTCTACGCCGCCACCGAGCTGTTCATCTTCAGCCGGCACATTAGCACCGGCTTGCAGTTGACGGGCAAAGTGCCCTGATGCAGAAACTGCCGGTGGCCCGCAAGCAGTGGGAGATCCTTCGGCCCTTCCACGTGACCATCAAACAGGCTGTGCTGGCCGCCCTGGAGAGGGAAGAACTGCTTCCCGAAATGGCCGTGGACTGCCTGCAGAGCCTCCTTCTGCTGGACAAAAGCGACCTGAGTGCTGTCCTGAAGACATTTTTGAGCTTGCGCTCTTCCGCTTTCCTGAACTGCCTGCAGAGCAGACCTTCGGAGCCAAGACGCGTCAAGGAGCGCATCCTGGCCAGCTTGAGCGTGCTTAACAGCACCGTGGAGCTGCTGGATAAGTGTCTGCTAGGTGAGATACTGTTTATTGTCGTAATCTGTAGAACAGACAAACAAGCATTGAGAAAATGAAGATTATGAGGAGGCCCTCCCATCGAAACTGGCCACTGGCTGAAGAAATATCCACACTCTGGGTCGCCTCGACTGCCCGGTAATGCATTACGGTGATCATTGGCTGGGGACTCGAAGACTTGACCCCACACGCCTCCAACAGGTCGTCTGTGTAAGTCGACCTGTGAGGTATACAAGTGACGAAGTCAGTTTTTCCGAGACTGACCAGCGTGGAGTTCTTGTCAATGCCGTCGAAGCACTGAAACTCAGTTCCATTTGTGGGCCATAGGGCGCGACAGTGCTTTGTCGCGCGATTGTGGAAGAGCACGACATAGGTGCTAGGTTGTTTGTCAAGAAAGTAGATACCAAAGAAATCGCCGCTCTTGATGCGATTGTCCTGGGACTTGGCCTCCAACTTGGACGTGTACTTGTTAGAGCAAAGAAGTCGCAGAGCTCCTTTTATTTCAACGCCACAACGTCTGGCTATTTTTAAAGACGAGTCTGACATTTTGTATTGATATATCAGTAAAAAATCTATAGTTGTAAATATTCTAGCTAAGCCTACTTATTGTCTGCTTCGAGTTATTCAAAATCGTTTCTCTCCTTCAGGTGATAGTCTTCTTTTCACCCGTCTGGCGGACTGCGCCTCCTCCACCTGTCCACCCAGTATCAACCGAATGGAAAGCAGCGAGCGTCAGTTGGCACATCTTTTGCCGGATATCATCGCCGGCTTCAAGCCGCAATTCGAGGTTCCTCAGCTAACACCGGAACAACTTGGCTCCTCACTCGAACAGTGGCTAGATAAGATGAACGCCCTGGCAGCGGCTCACCTGCAGCAGGTCTTCGCCCTAGTCAGTAACATGCAGACCATTCAGGACATTAAGTCGGCAGCCAGGACTAATGGGCGGCCGGACTTCGTTCGCTTGGAGCAGCAGCTACATCTGAAGCACAGCCAGTTGGACTTCTACGTCCGGAAGTACGTTCCACTGATCAACGCCAGAGTGCGGGAGATCATCCGCAGCAGTTGGGCGGCCGCCATGAAGCAGACCTACGAACAGGTGCTCTCGCTCATCGAAGCCGGACAATCGCAGGCACCGCAACAAATTTGGCGGGAACAGAGCGACGATCTGCCCTTAAGCTTAGCGGCGCGCTTAGCGATCAACCAAAGAGGCTGGCCAATCGGACGAAGGGTTACGATGGCGCCACAATGGAGTTGTGCAAACGTTTCGACTCTCAACTAGCTGATATTGTCCAGGAGCTCAATGTTATGCTGCAGGAGCAGACGACGCGGGCAGAGGACAAACAGGCCCTCATCCAGTTCCTGCGCGAGACGGCCGAGGAGCAGCTGACAGAGTATCTGACCAACCTGAAGGGTCTACAGCTCAGGGAGCGGCCTGCTCTGCTCCTTGCTTTGCGCAATAGTCTGGCCCTGGTGGAACTTTGTCCCAACTTAAAGCTCTGTTTCTGCCAGCCTTCAAGTTGGCGGCAGTGGACTGACAACTTGGCAGGAGTGGGGATTGAAAACTGGCAGCGCATTTGCGGCTTGATCGAAGAAGAGATGCTATCCTTCTGGCTACTCATTGTTGATGACGTGCTGGCTGGCCATAATTGCGAGGAAAAACTGCCGAAAGTTATCAACCATGAAGTGGTCCTCAGCGATTTTGCGGTAATTAAATTAAATGTTTTTAAATTTGTGTTAAGGTAACAAATTAATATCTTCTATAGCTTTGGCAGACCTTGACCCTGGAGCAGCGTGACGAGGACCAGGAGCAGAGTGTACAGTCGACCATTCGCATTCCCAGTCAGCCGCGTCTTTCTCTGCAGACATATCTTCATCAGTTGATTCAGGCATTGAACGAGGTTGTCCCCCAAACATTGCCACCCAAAGTATTGCAAGCCTTCATCCAGCGGTTACTAGGAAAACTGCTCTCCCACTACGATGGATTGGCCCAGGCGGAGTGCACCAAATCTACCCAGAACATTGCCCTGCAATTGTACTTTGATCTAAAGTTCCTGGAACGCGTGTTTGCCGTAACACGCGAGGAGCGGGCCACCTATGACCAGATTCATGCCCAGCAGAATAAGTTGCGCGATTGCATTGATCCGTTTGATTTCGAACTATTTGCCGAGCACATAACTGCGCATGTGACAAGAGCTGCTGGCCGACTGCAGGGCGAATGGGAGTGCTGACACCCTCGACAGCGTCTCCAAGTCAGGGCACAACGGCAGCCACTTCATTGGCCCATGAAGCAGATCCCAATGTGCTGTGCCTCAGCTCATCCGGATCCACGTCGCTGTGGTTCCCCCTGTTGCCCATTGTGATGCCACAAGCTGCCGGAAGAGTTACTGGCATCGAACGGAAATCCGTCGCCCAAGAGCCTGCGGAGAAAGTGAGTGAAAGGGTAAAGATATATGAAGCGGCCGGGGCTCACTTTAAAAATAATATTTTAATTTCGGTTTGCTTACACATTACAGTTTTCAAAACTTTAATTATCTGTGAATTTATTACCTGAATAAGCAAAGGAAGAGAGCCCCCAGCCCGAGAGATATATTATTATACCTTATACAATCTTTATCGAGTTGTAATTGTGTGTTCCCATGTTTCTTTCCTAGGATTTCTATCGATTGCAATCCTAAGTCAATAGTTTCAACATTTGCTCTGGTTGGGTAGGAATGGTATTTCATAGTTGATATTTTGTTATCACTCCTCGTTTGCATGCTGCATGATAATACTTGTTTAACCAATACTCACTTAGACTGAGAACTTCCCTCTTTGCTCTTATTAGATGCTTCATTTCCGAATTTGGAAACCTCTTCAAACTGAAGCATCAGTTTAATTTAACTAATTTGGTCCATCCAGCAATAAATAAACCAGAATGCCGCAAGACAAATTTTAATTAGGTGCAACTTTTCGCCGAACCCCTCCCTAACCGCTCCACTCGTCTCCACTTTCCACATCGTCCGCAAGTGCTTGGCGAAAGTTTCGCCTGAAACCCAAACCGAAATTTCCAAGTGGATGGCCAGAACATCGGCAGAATGATTGTGTATATATTATGAACGCGTGTGCGAGTGCCTTAGATGCTAATTAATGAATCGCTGCAATTATTGAAATCAAATCGCTGGGCAAATGTTAATTTATGGCTGTGGCTACTTGGCCGTTACTCGCATGTTTTGTAATTAGCTGCGATCTCTGCCGGTATATATCGTTCTCTAATTATATCTGCTTTTGCGTTTGCTGTTTGTAGCTCGCCATAAATCTGAGACTTCAACCGCAAATTAACAGATTAATCAGACAAACTACCAATTAATAGTCCTACTTAATTAATATCACTTCTCTTTATCACCCTTAGATGGCGACAACGACACCGACCAGGAAGTCGGGGGGCAATGGAGCCCGCAAGGGAGACACTGGCAAATCCAAATCCAGCGCAGCTTCCTTTTTCGGAATGTCCCAGGAGTGGTTTCGCTAGAGGAGTCGAGTCAAGTGGCCTGTGAAGTGCATCCAAGTGGAACACGGAATAGGGATGGGAACGGAAACGGGAACACCACTCTCTACCGTTCCGTTGCTAAACCGAGCATTCAAAATGTTTAACCTCTATCCAAACATATTTGTTAACCAGGCGGCCACCGCCACATAATTTTAAGAGAGCCAGTAGCATACATTATGGATACATAAACCCTGATATCACTTTTAATTTCAACTTAACTCTAAATTTGTAATTTTTAATGCGCTTTGATGTTGCCACCGTTGCTATTTCTTGCCTCCTTTTTTGCCACCGCCTGCGGCTGCCTTTTGGTCCTGTCCTTTCTTGGCTCCACCTTTGTCACCGCCGCCTCCATCGCCGCCTTTGTTTTTATTTCCGGATCCGCCTGCGCCGCCTCCTCCGCCACCGCCTCCTTTTTTCTGTGGGCAAAGAAACACGAAAAGATTTCTCTTTGAGCTGGGACTGAGCAAATAACGAGCCACGGTTGTTTAAAGTTGCGCAGCAAAGTCAGTAAATGAGAAAAAGGTTAGTTGTGCCGGGATTGCAATGGGTTGGCCATGATTCCAAAGGGCTACACGGTCTTTAATTACATTCAGAAAGAATTATTACTTCCGTTTGCCACATTAAAATAATGAAATTCAAGATGTATTATGGAAGTCAATATTAAATATTAAATTTTCATTTTGTTCAATAATATTGCCACTTTTTTTTTAAAGCAACTATAAATGTGGGAATTTTATTAAGAAATTCTGTAAACCTGGTTGAAATGGTCAAGTTTATAACTAGCTTGTAAAAAGTTCTTTATGAAATTTCTGCTTTAAATCTGTTGGGACTGAAGCAAACTGAATAAGCACTAGGCTGAAGATTATAAGTAGTTAGACTCACAATTAGTACGCAAGTTGCATAACACAAATATTGCTTACATTGCCGCCGCCGCCTCCTCCGCCCCCTCCACCACCTCCTCCTCCTCCTCCTCCGCCGCCACCTCCTTTGTTTTTACCCATTCTATCAACTTCTCAGGATGGCAATTATTAAATTTATTTGGTTTAGTTTCTGGGGTTTGCTGTTGGTTTTCGGATAGAGCAAACTTTGGCCGCAGCTGGCAAATTGCAACTAATAAGCATCCCCATAGCCGCAAAGCGAAATGCATGAAATTGAATCATTTGGCCAGAAAAAGAAGGCCGAAATAAACGATGAGAGCAAAACACAAAATGCGCAACAGTCGGAAGGCGGAAAGCGGAAGGGTTTTTGGGGATGGGATGGGGTGGGAGGTATGGGTGGGGGTTTTGGCCCCGGGTAGAGCAGACCTGGCTGCAATGGCCAACGGCTCTTAACCAATTTAATCATCAGCCTCGCTCCTCTCTCTGCGGCCGGAAGAAATGGGAAGTGTTTCTCTCGCGGCGACCGTTGGCTTATTTTGTAGAGCTTCCCCCCAGCTATTTGGCACCTTTTTTTCCGATTCTGTTTCGGTTTCTGCATTTGCATTTGGCCATATCCGCCCATGGCCATGGCATTGACATTGGCCACCTCTCGCATTTCTGGTCGTTTTGTGTGGTCGATGGAAGGCAATACGTCGCTAATCCCAAGGCTCAGTCGCGAATCCCACGGATACGGAGAGTGCAACAAGACGGTATTTATAGATGCAACGAGAAACGACAAAGATAGCCTGGGCTAAGAGAGATTTGGGGGATTTCAATGGGAAAAGATGGGCATAGGACGATTGAAAGCGTTAATGCATGCAGGCAGAATTGCTTAAATTATGTGGATATAGAGGGGATAACAGAATCGATGATGGGTCTTAATAAAAAATGGGTAGATATTGAATTGCAAATTATAAATGGTTTACAGCTATCCAACAAAAGTTTATTACTTTTAAGTTCTTTTTTTATCTTTCAAGTCTTTTTTGATCTATAACACTATATTTGTGATAATTAATGATATATTTTTAAGAGGAACTACTTTAAGAATTCTTCATGATGTGAGATGTTAAGTTTGTGTAACACATATTTTTCCTGCAAACTTTAAAATAAATTCAATAACTTTAATGCCTAAAGTTCATCGTGCTGATTTTCTTTCCAGCTTTTGTTTTAATTACTATACCAGTACACCAGTTGGATGCCTAATTGGAATGGAATACATTTAACGGCTTTCCACCTGCCTGCGTTCTAAAGAAAACTGTCCGAGTCTGATTTTCTTCATATGCTAATTACAGTTATCAAAAAGTTTCTCTGTCGCTGCCACCGGACACTGGAAACTCAATGCATACATAATGAGTTTCTCTTCTTTTCCTGCAGCTTCTCGTCTGACTCTCCCCCATTTTCCCCCAAACAGATGTTGGAAAATGGAGGGGAAAAAAAAGATAGGACACCCGTCGGTGTCAGCTAATTAAATTAGATGTTTTATATGTACTACATATATACGGCTCACCTTAAGTGAAACCGATATGACCAGATGAAAATGAAAACACCAAACCGAAAGAACTCAACAAGTCGAAATCTGCACATGGCAAGGTGCCTGGAACCGAATTAGAAGTGAAAAGTATGAAATAAGCTCATAAAATGACGTTCACACATGGACCGGGAAGGGATTTCGATGAGGGGATGAGGATAAGGATGACCCGTATCCGGAGGCGAGGTCAACAAAGTCGCAAGTCCGGACATTCGCTGCAGGTGTGGTGGGCGAAACTTGCACCTGAGAGATAGAACCCCTCCCCTGGAACTAGACGCACCGGACGGACACTTTGAATTTAAGCGAAATGGGCGGACTTTCTGGGACTGGCTAAATACATACGGAAGGGCAAGAGAGATAGCCGGGATAAGTAAGGAGCTGGCTCTGTAAAAGTGCGGAACTTTAATTAAGTTTTGGTTCTCCCAGCTGACTGACATCTTGAATTACAAATGAAAAACTTGTGTGCAGCAGCAGAAGGAAAAGCAGCCAAAGGAAATGGGCCAAAAAGAAGCGACACGGAAAAGGGCAGAAATAAAAAAAAATGTATATAAAGGAAAAGAAAGAAAAGTGAGTGAAAAACCAGGGAAAACCAGTGCATAATAACACACTGAACTGGCAGAGGTGGGTCTGAAGCAAAAAGCAGTTCCTGCAACAGAATGCGAATAAGTTGCACAGCCAGCAATTCACGGAGTGAAAATAGAGAAAAGTAGAACCACTGGGCGGGAAACCCAAACAACTACCTTAGCCAGTTAGCCAGTTGGCGAGTTAGCTAGTTAGCTAGTTAGCCGCCATAAGAATACCCAACTCGCTGGGGCCGCGAATATCTTCCGACTAGCCGGCCCTTAAAGTACGGGTATCCCAAAAATCGAACAAGAGCCGCAGCGACAAAAATAGTTTCATTCATGGCTATTCAAAGAAATTCGTCCGAAAATGTCTGACTACGGAATACGCTTAGATAACCCCGTGCCTGATAATCGGCATTCTAGTTCCTCTGATTATAGGTAATTCCCGCCCATAATGACGATGATTTTGCTCGGGAAAATTAATTCTCCACTTCAAGTCATAGCCCGATAAGATTACTTCGAGCCAAATCAAAGTGCACTGACTGTCGGGTACATAAGTCACCAGGGAAACCTTATCGAAATCCCATTAAGCCATCACTATTAAGCCAAAACTGCGAGGAGGGGCTTAGTTCCCAGGCACTTCTTTTTTAATTGCCCATATGAACAATAATTACAACCCATTTAGATTTAAATGTTATTGGTTCTGATTTGATGATCCGATCGGTGTAATATTACCTAGTTCCCAATAAATAGTATATTTCTTGATTACTAAACGGATTTTAGACTTTAATTTATATTGATCTTCCTTAATTCCATTGTAATCCCATGTAAGCCATATAAACTGGGGTTTAAATAAATAAAACTCAGTTTGATTTGTGAATTTTCTAAAATTTAATTAAAAGTTTATTATTATTCCTAATTATTTGGATTGAACATCTAAGCAGAGTGTCTTTTACCGAACCTATGTATATATTTGGCTAGGTGAAAACCTCTGCTGGTTAAGGGCAACCACAGGTCTGCTGTAACCGGAACTTCATCCACAGCCGAACTTCATCATCGGCAGCCTTGCCACAGAATTGGGTTTTAGTTCACGTGCCACCGGGAACGGAAAGTTGATTTTCTCTGCCGGCTGCCATTGCTGGAAAATCAGGAAACAGATGTTTGCAAATATCTTGCGAGCGAACTTTTTCGCCAAGGTATTTAAATAACGTTTTCGCTGCACCAACTTTTTGTCAGCCGCAGCGCAGAAAATCGGGGAAATAAAAGGCAAAAATGTAAGGAAAAGCTTTGAGAGCTGGCCAAAAGAAACCCCATTCAATTTCGTTGAATTGGGTAGATTTCGTTTGAGGGAATTTCCTGAATTATCATGGCTCTGCTGAATGGGATATCATGTCGTATTCATATCGAAAAGGCGGCTAAATATACTTTACCATAGACCCAACACTTTAAGAGCGCGTGTGGATATCGATAATCCGCTGGTGACTAATTAAAATGTTGGAAAAAAATGGTCAAACTTTCCATTCCGCTTCCTCGTGATACGCGTGATACGCAATTGGAAGTCAGTAGGTATTCCCGGCTTAAGGTTCAAAGATCATTAACCGAATTTTAGATATCCCATTAAAGAGCTCCGGGGGTTTTGTTGTATAAATTTGTTATTATATTTATCGATACTACGTAGTATGGCTTGACAATACTTTCCTCACGTGATATCCCATTGCTTAAAGCCCTCAGATAAAGGTGAATCCAAAAACCGGAAGGAAGATAAGAAATTCCAGCAATTAGGAATGGTCATTAACCGGGAATGGCGAAAATTTAATCACCATTATCACGACTGAGGACACCCTTCAATTAAATAACCAAAATCACGCAATCAGATTAGTTTCAATAAATATATGCATAGATGGCACTCGTGTGGCCAACTTTGGTCAACGCCTTTTATCTTTCATTGATACCTTGCACTTACCCTAGGCAATGCTTATCGGCCCCAGATAAGCCGCTTGGGGATCCGCGTCTTTATAAGTAGCCCTCCAAGCGAATAGTCCCTCAGATAGTGGCCGATCTTTCGGGTGTGCATACTAACTTTACTGTAGCGAAAATGTCCAAGTTACCGTGCAGCTACGATGCGGAGAACAAGATCTGGAAGGGTATTCCGCAGAACAACCCCTTCAAGCCGGAGACTTCCCTGGGTCGCATCATCTTCAAGAACATGAGGAACTGGCCCAAGAACGTGTGCCAGGTAAGTGATATGGAAAGGATATCAAAGGACCCCTCTAATGGGTGGTGGATCCATAGATTTCGGACACCGAGGGCGTGCAAGTCACCTACGGACAAGCTCTCACCTGGGCCATTCGCATCGCCCAGCACCTGAAAAGCCGCGGTCTGGACCACAAGGATATCATAGGCATCTCTGCTAGGAACACCACCTACGTTATGCCCATAGCCGTGGCTTGCTTTTTCCATGGCACACCCTTCCAGTCGGCGAATCCCGATTCTCGAAGAATGTACGTATTATCTACCGAAAGTTAATAGGTTTTAGTGTATATATTATATAATATTTCCCTTCTTTTAGCCACCCTCAAGCACTTGTATAACATCTCGAGGCCCAAGATCATCTTCACCGATGCTGATCACTATGACAAATTGTACTCGGCTACTAGTGAATTCAAGCCGGAGATTATTCTAACCACCGGAACTAAGGATGGTGTCCTCAGCATTCAGGATCTCCTGCATCCACCAAGACGGATTCTTTATCAGTGAGTGTGGCATTTGGAATTATCATGGTTACTTATTAATATATATCCAACCAGGCCAACCCCGCTGAAGGAAGGACCCAAGCAAACCGTCGCCATCCTCACCTCATCGGGAACCACTGGAATGCCCAAGGCTGTGTGCATCTCCAATGATATTCTAACCCAAGAGACTGTGTAAGTTTCTTGTAGTTCTGTAATAATTGGTAATTTACCACGCTTATATTGACAACGTACAAAAAAGTGTAAAAAATTGTTTAAACATAATATAAAAAACCTTATCATACATCATTATATATAAGAAATATAGAAATTATAATTAAGCTCTCTAATATATTTAGAAAATGATCAAATTTAATTATCCTTTACAGCTTTGTCAATGCCTACGACACGATCTTCATTTCGGCCAGTTTGGACTGGATCACTGGGCTGTGGGCCACCATCTTCAGCCGGTGAACGGATGCACCCGGATCATCAGCAGCAAGCCCTTCTCCGCCGAGTACTTCGTGTACCTAGTGAGCAAGTACGGCATTACGTACGCCCTTATCCCGCCGGAGCACTGCTGCTCCCTGCTGGACTGCCCACCGCCACGCCGGAGAAGCTGGGCAGCCTGACGAAGCTGAACTTCGGAGGCGGCCGCATGACCCAGGCCACCGTGGAGAGGATCAAGAAGCTGGCTCCCAATGGAGTCCTGAACTCCTCTACGGCATGACCGAGGTGGGCTTCATAGTGTTCAACCACGGACATCTGAAACTGACGGCAGCTGGCAACCCGCTGCCCGGAATTCAGATAAAGATCGTGGACGACGATGGCAACAAACTGGGGTCAACCAGACGGGCGAGATCCTCGTGCACAATGGGTTCAACTGGAACGGATACTTTGCCGATCCGGTGGCCACCAAGGAGATGCAGGACGAGGAGGGCTGGTTCCACACCGGCGACATGGGCTACTTCGATGAGGACGACTACCTGTACATGACGGACCGCAAGAAGGAGGTGCTCAAGTGGAAGGGTCTGCAGATGTGGCCCGCCGAGGTGGAGGCCGTGATCGACGAGCTGCCGGAGGTGAAGAGGGTGTGCGTGATCGGGGTGTACGACGAGACCCAGGGGGATGTTCCCGGAGCCTGGTTGTGCGGGAGGATAACGCACCCTGACCGCCCAACAGGTGATCGACCACGTGGCCAAGAGGCTGCCCGACATCCAGAAGCAATTGCGAGCCGGCGTCCAGTTCGCGGATGAGATTCCCAGAACCACAACGGCAAGGCCGTCCGCCGATATGCCCGCGATCTCTTCGTTGCCCTGTCCAAGAAGAACTGAGCTCTGTAAAAATGCCAAGCCCCACTCGGAATAATTTAGCTTGATTAAGTTTGTTAAGTTCTTTTCGTATCGTTTTAATTTGTCTTTTAATTTAAATGCCTGTTGAAAGTCGCCTACAACCTTCGCTTCTCAGAATAATGTCGCTGTGCACTTATAAAATAAAGAAAATGCTGAAGTATAAGATTTAATATATCTCTGGTATGTTAGGGGTTTCCTTTTCGGACTTAAAAACAAATCCCTCGCAGTTATTTATATCAAATACACCTCCCATATTTCCTGGGTCAAGGGCACATCACAAATCCCATTGAAATACCCTTATCCCCCAAGAACATTCTAAAAACAATTGCCGGCAACATTTGATTAACGTTGCCATCCCATCAATTTGGTTATAAAAATATTGTGTGTGCTTGGGCGGGAATTTGGGCCATAACTCAACTGGAATTGTGTCGCTGTTTCTTTATGGCTAAACACTTTCATGGGCAAACAAAGAATTGCCATTTTGCGTCAAGTGCCGTGACTCCTGCTCCTCCCATCGAGTAAAAAATCATTTTATTTAGTCATAAAAATCGCACGCATAGAATTGGCCAGGGGAGCAGCTTCGATGGGGGTTACGGGTGCCAAATCACGGGGGACGCACAAAAAGAAGCTTTTCACGAAATTAAAGGTAAATAAAATGTTTATGAGTGGAGAGCAAGCGCTCATATGATTTCACATTCGATTGAATAACATTTACACACGCAAGCGGGCGCCACGCGAAGGATTCGCAATCTGTGCCCGGATCTCAATCCTCCGGTTCTCCGGTCCCCTTGAATCCCTGGATCCCTAGAATTCGCGCAGAACGGGGGGATAGCAATAGCAGGCAGCCAAAGACGGGCAATAAATTCAAACATGTGCACATAAATTTTTATTTCGATTTGCTGAGCCGCTGTCAGTGGTGTCCT